ATATCAGCTCTCGCCGGACCGATTTCGATCTCAGCTCTCGCCGGACCGATTTCGATCTCAGCTCTCGCCGGACCGATTTCGATCTCAGCTCTCGCCGGACCGATTTCGATCTAAACAACGCCGCGAATCGCATCCGGTCAAAGACGCTGATTACCCTCGAAAACTGAAAAAAAATTCCCTCGTTGCCCGTATTTATACTCGAATCGGTGTCGATCTCTCGACGCCGATATTTCTTAATGCCAACTCGACCAAAACGAGATTCAAAAATATTCCAAGTCCGCTTTGGACTTCGTTGGACTTTGTTCAATCGCTTTGATTGAACAAACGACCGAGTGCCGCCTGGGAGAATCTGTGATTTCAATTTTATTCCGTACTATATATATATATTTTAATGTAATTAAAGGATAATTAATGTATAAGGATAATAATTATCCTTATATTANGATAATTAATGTATAAGGATAATAATTATCCTTATATTATCGTTTTAATAGAAAATAATAATTATTTTCTATTAAAACGTTTAAAAGTATATAATAATAGAAAGACGCGCCTTAAAAATAAATGTTAATTAAAATGTGAATGAAACGATTCACAATTATCGATGCACTCGGTTTCGATTATTCGAATACCCGGGCGGCACATTTGAACGGGGCGAGTATCAACAGAGGCGGTAATGTTTTTGACTCGGCCGGTTCGAACGAGACTCGAAATTTCAAAATTATTTTCTCGTCGCGATTTTCTTTAGCCGTACGGTGGCCGCGTATTGCAAAAAAACAAAATTTGTTCTGTTTAAACACGCACTCGATATAACACGCTCGAGCCTCGTGCTACAATATAAATATAATATTTTTTGTAAATTTTTCACCGTGTTAGTGTGATTTAAAAAACGATTGCGTCACAAAAAGTTGGCAAACATTACCGCGATATTATTTTTTTAGCATTTATATCGCGGTAATATCCAAATAGACATCGAAATCGTCGAATAGTATTTAGATATCATCGTTGGAGTTATTTCGTTGGACGACCTTTGAATATCCTCCGAGCGACCGATCGTTTAATTAACATCATTTTTATTAAACATCATATAAACATCAGTTATCGCCGCTTATTTAACCGCAATGAAATCGCCATTGTCGTCGTGTTCGATCGTCGTCGTAACGCTTCTGGCGGTCTGTCGTTTTTCCGACGCGTTCGATTGGGAAAATCATCCAAACGGCCAACTCGTCAAGTCCGAGGTGATATTCAGCCTTCCCCACAATGTCGTGTTCGGCACGATTAACGGCGGCAACGTTGACGCGTCGAAAATCCCGTGGGCCGCGAGAATCAGGTCGTACAAACTGCTGTACGTGTTGGCAAAGTACTGTGAGTACACGTTCTGGATAAATTCGCCGAGCCATATCAGTAGCGCGATTAGCACGCCGACGAAGAAAGTCATCGATTTCATGAAACGTCACAAAACGGACATTTCCAATCTGGAGCAACTGTTGAACGACACTTTTTCGAATCCAAATCACGCGAACGCCGACAAGAATCTGACCCTCAAGTTGCTGTTGAGATTCCAAAAAGGCATTTATAATCTGTTGTTTAGCGACGTGACGACGTTCAACGCTTTAATGTTGAATGTGACGCTAAACGAAAATTTCTGCGTCAGACTCGAACAGGCGATTAAAGCGTGGACGTTTTTCGACAACTTGGCGGACGACGAGGAATCGACAAAATATATCCCTGCGAATTTCGAACAGAACTGTATGTTTCCGACGCAATATTTTTACAACAAAATCATAGGCGAGCACAAGAAGCCGAAAAAAAAAGAAGAAGAAGAAGAAGAAGATAAAAAAGAAATTATAACATTCATATGAAAAATTAATTTTATTAAAACTATATGTAATTAATAAAATTAAAACTATGTGTAATTAATAAAATTAAAACTATATGTAATTANAAAACTATGTGTAATTAATAAAATTAAAACTATATGTAATTAATTTTTACTCGCCTAATATTAAAATATGAAAAATTATTTAAACGAAACTAAAAACGTTGAAAATTTTACTATTAAAATCGAGTAAACCCGTGACTTGACACGGGTTTGACGATTTTTCATAATTTAAAAATTCAAGGTAATTAGAAATTCACGGTAATTAGAAATTAAATCAATACCGACGATGTGCATCGGTATTTATGTTATGTTAAAATCGTGCGATTTTAACATAACATAAAATTGTATTCTCGAGTTATTCGTCGTTATATTTAGTATAAATTAATTGTTGGATAAAAAATTTATAATAAAAAAGTATTCGATGATGATCTACCGTCTCGTTTATAAATATTTTCAACAACACGTAAATTTTATTTTATTTTACCTAAGTTTTATACGATTTCGCAACTATATTTATTTACGATATTTCACGAATATTTTATGTTTAAATTTTTTATCGTATCGAATCACGAGCTAATTATCTCGTTGTATAATTCTACAGTATTATACGACGAGATAATTAGCTCGAAACGCTTCGAAACCGGTCAAGCCAATCGAAATTAATAAAATGGTGTCGTGGCGACTGGATATTTTTCATATATATATATATTTTTCATATATATTTTATAGATTTCATAGTCGTCGAGAAACAATAGTATTGATAATTATTAAAAATATAAAAAAATTGTTTTTCTAGGTCAATCAATTTGGAAAAAAAATTAAGTATTTGAGATTTCATACAATTCTCTGTCTTTTCTACGTAAAAACAAACCCATAAATTACCACCGTTATTATACCACCCGTTTTTGGTTTATAAAAAGGCCATTTTAAGATAAATACAAAATATAATTTTACATTTTCGATAATACATGAAAAGTACAACAGTTGTACTGTTACTGTTACTGTTATAACAGTTACTGTTGAAAACGTAAACAAACGAAATATAGTCGAAAAGTATTTAATTTAAGTATTTATTAATATTTTCTCGAATATCATACACATTATAGCTTACACTTTATTTTAAAAAAAACGAACAAGTTTTTAAGATTAGCGAATAATTTTTTTTCTACTCGTAATATACGTGAATATCAGCCAAACCGCATTAAAAAAAAAAAAATTTTAAGCTTACTCGAGACCTACTAGAAATTGACTATATAATGACAACGCTAATCATAATCCTCGCTATGGATTTTCGACTTTTTAATTTTGACACTAAAAAATTTGTATTCAACTAAAATACAGTATATACTAACATATAAAATACAGTTAAAACGGTTCTCGTTAAAAATTCGGAGATTGACTTTTTGATCCATCCCCTACTATACGTGAACGTTTTATCAAAAATATGAAACTCGCGAGTCGTAAGTTTAAGTCGCATAGGTTTAAGTCTTTAAGCTTAAGTTTTTAGTTTATGGTTTTACGTCGAATAAACGGACGAGTCGCGTTAAAGATTCAAATTGCATTTACTATTAAAAAAAAAAAAAACCTTCAACGTTTCATTAGTTTTCAAAATACGCGTTCCCGTTTGACGTGTTTACGGAGCGTAAGGGACGAACTCGAAAATGATCATCGCGTAGCTAAAGGAATCCAAATAGAAAACGTTTAAATTATTTATTTTTCCGTCAGTGATCGTGTGGGGGGGGGGTAGTGGAAAAAAAATCAATCATCCCGTATAGCACGTGGAATTCGCGTTTACGTCGTTCAATGGCCGGCCGCGCGACTCGTCGACAATATTTTTTTATATAATAAAAATCGATCGCTCGCGGCCGATGTTATCGATCCGACACGTACTCGTTCGGGGGGGGGGTTTTAGAAATTTAGGATTTTATCGTTTACGAGCGAGTACAGATGACGAGTACAGGCGGCGGCGATACTCGTTCGGCGCGTCACGAGCGACAAACGGCGACCGTTCGAGACGGCACCAGAAACCACAAAACTGTCTCTGGGTTTTTTATTTTCTTCTTAACGATCCAATCGGGGTTTCGGTCGGGTTAGGGTGCCGAGAATCGGTCGGGGGGATCTCTGTCACTCGTCACCGTATTACCGAAAGTCGAACGATTGCTGCTGCCGTTCGCGTTCGGTTTTTTTGCACGAGAAGACGTTCTCGACGAGGGTCGGATGTGGTGTTTTAATAGGCGACGAAACGCATGACGCCGACCGGCGGCGGTCACAGTGTGTTTTATCGTCAAAAAGGATTTTCGTTTGAAAATCCTTTAAACGCGCGCTCAAAACGAAAATCAATCAAACGCTCGCAGTTACCCACCTGGAATAATCGGGATCGTGGAGAACGGCGCGATTAAAATAATACATAATCGAGCGGTTCGAATCTGCCCCCTATCTATCTATCTATTATACGCGACGNTCTTCTTAACGATCCAATCGGGGTTTCGGTCGGGTTAGGGTGCCGAGAATCGGTCGGGGGGATCTCTGTCACTCGTCACCGTATTACCGAAAGTCGAACGATTGCTGCTGCCGTTCGCGTTCGGTTTTTTTGCACGAGAAGACGTTCTCGACGAGGGTCGGATGTGGTGTTTTAATAGGCGACGAAACGCATGACGCCGACCGGCGGCGGTCACAGTGTGTTTTATCGTCAAAAAGGATTTTCGTTTGAAAATCCTTTAAACGCGCGCTAAAAACGAAAATCAATCAAACGCTCGCAGTTACCCACCTGGAATAATCGGGGTCGTGGAGAACGGCGCGATTAAAATAATACATAATCGAGCGGTTCGAATCTGCCCCCTATCTATCTATCTATTATACGCGACGGTCCAGATACGCAATAGATTTGATCGGTATTTCGAAATTCCGGGTTAAAGGGTAAAAATCCCGGACGGACGTTTTCACCGTTTTCTCGACCGGTTGAAAAAACGCGTAATGAAATTTGAAAATTAAAACTCGAAAATTTTCCACCCTCGCGGTAACCGTCTTTTTACAGTTGTCGACTACGGGTGTAGCTTGTTCTCGCGATGTATACTCGCCCTACATACCCTCGCACTCTATGCCTTAAAACGCTCGTGACACACAATAAGTAAATATTCTAAACTTGTTATTGACGTATTGAATTTTTTTGTAAGAAAAGTGCTAAAAATTGCTATTTTAAAATTACAAAAAAATTATGTATAATTATAAACTCTGTACAATATACAGTGTATACATGTAATTATGTATATATATATATATATATATGTAATTATACACTCTGTATATGTAAAACGCAAAATACTGGCTAAATTTAATTATTAAAGACGTCAACTTGGTGATGGGATGGACATTCTGTATTAATAATAAACTTTATCGTGATTATTGTTAGAAATGGCAATATTCCGGGTCCATTTCTCCAGCCCCCCCTTTTTTTAATTTTGTAGTTTTTACTTCGCCATTCGATTGTGCATCGTTTGTGCATAAGGTCCCGTTATTTGTGCACGATAGATAATTATTTGTGCAGTTATCTTTATCTCTCGAAAATAAGTCTTGCTCAGGTGGGAGCTGGCGTGACATCGTATTGGCAACTGTCATACCNGCTGGCGTGACATTGTATTGGCAACTGTCATAGAAAAATTCAAATAAACAATACACAGAAGTTATGACGAAATAAAAACATTTTATCCAGAACACATCACGATTTATATATAAAGTTTTGTGGTTTCATTTACACTTTGTGTAACTTTTTCTTTTACATTACCACCGTACAGTCGCCACACATTCATGGGATGTCTGTATGTATGCGTGTGATAACGTCCCAGAATTTCATGGGAACTAGCACGCTGTTGGTTGTCTGGTGTACTTATCAGTCGTCGTAAAAAAAAATCAGTATCATTTATTTTTAAAAACTTTGGTATATGGTTTAACTGAATATGTGTATCGGGAAGATTACTTGCTGATAAATCGTTCAAATTAATCAAATTAAAACGTGTATATGTGGTCTGCACTCTATTGTTCTTACATGTTTATTTGAACAGACGTGACGCAAGTTATCCTCTGTTAGTTTATTAACATCTTTAATAAACTTAATGTTCAGTTGTCGCATGTAGGTTTTTTTAATGTATTTTAATGTTACTGTAATATATGGTATGTTTTCATTATTTGTCATAACTATACAAAAATTACAAAAATCTGTAACTTTAATAAATGGGTAATTGTTTAAAATCTTAGATAGAACATTGTCAGCTGGGCTTTGTACTCATAAATATATAACACCATTCGGTGTAGGTACTCCACAAAAATTTTAGTTTAAAATATCAGCTCTTTTTTTGTACGTTTGTGCAGTGACACCATCAGAAAGCGTGTTGGTTTGGTTGGGTTTGGCCACAATTTTTCAAAGTCTTTATTTTGTGAAACAAACATCGAGTATTTAGTATTTTCCGAACAAGATAATATAAGTTTCTACAGTCCCCCAATTTGTTTTTACGATATCTCGGAGAGTAAGTGTGCACAAACGACGGGACCACCTTGTGCACATTTCTGCACAAACGAATCGCAAAGTAAAAACTACAAAATTAAAAAAAGGGGGGGCTACTGTTTCTGCGTCCCCCAAATATGTTTTTATACGATATCTCGGAGAGTAAGTGTGCACAAACGACGGGACCACCTTGTGCACATTTCTGCATAAACGACGCACAAAAGAATCGCAAAGTAAAAACTACAAAATTGAAAAAAGGGAGGGCTGGAGAAATGGACCCGATATTTCCAGTAGAACGCAGATATGTTATCTGATAAATTCCAGATACCGATTATGTTAATCGGTATCTGGAATTTTATATTCCCGTAGGCGTATTTTTGTTACATTCGTTATACGAAATATTATTGTCGATTTCTCGCATTGTTTCGGTTTAGTTATTAAAAATTATACTTTAAGAGATCCAATACATTGTATAAATTCACGTTTAAATGAATATTTAGGGAAAGACCGCCNAATATTATTGTCGATTTCTCGCATTGTTTCGGTTTAGTTATTAAAAATTATACTTT